CTGCTGAACTTCAAAGAAACTTGGATTAAAGCCTCTGGCAGGATGGGTGGGTTCCCCTGAAAGCTCCTTGCTGCCCAGAGCAACTGTGATGACAGACAAGCTTTTTTCTCACCCTGGCAGCCAACCTGTGGTAGTGCCCCCATGATCTCACATGCATCCTAGGTGCCTGGAGTCTGTCAGATAGGTAATAGCTGTGTCCCAGGGCTTCAGAGTGCAAGGAAGTGTGATGCTTTTCCCCATGAAACAGCCTTTAGCTGTAGAGATGAATTACTGTTTTCTTCCCCTTGGATGAATAATTCTGTTATCTTTATCTTGAATCAGGAACTTTTAAGCAGAACATCCCTTGAAACTCAGAAGCTGGATCTTATGGCAGAGATTTCCACTCTGAAGTTAAAGCTTACATCTGTAGAGAAGGATAGAGTGGACTATGAGGACAGATTCAGAGACACAGAGGTGAGTAAAGCCCATCTGAATAAACTGTGAAAGCTGTGTGTGGCTTCATGTTACCTGAAAATTTCCTGGGATTTTTTTTTTTTGGCCAGGCAAGAAGGGAATTCATCTTTAAGGCTAAAACATGTATCTCTCAAAATAAAAAGTGTCCTCTTTGGTAAACTGGTTTTACACAGAAAGATTTCCAAACCCTATTTTTTATTCCTGCCATCAGATCTTAGGAGGGATGGCATTCAGGATGGATTTAAATAAAATCATGAACATACTGCACTCCCCTATCCCAGCTTGAAACTGTCATCATTGTAGTAAGGCATGCCTGAGGCAAACACTTAAGCCCATCTCAAGTACAAAAACCATGCGTGTGCAAAGACATGGCACACTGAAAGACATAACTTTTGGGTTCAGTAACAGAGAGAATGAGGTGACTCAGCGTGAGGGCATTTTGAAGCCTCACTTCAAACCCCAGCCCCACAGAATCCCAGAACCAAGAGGACAGTGGTCCCTCATCTCAGCCTGGCTTCAGCCCAGCGGTGTACAGTGCCAGGCAGAGCTGCAGCCCAGAGCTCTCCTGGGGCATTTGCCCTCTGTGCGCTGCAGATCTGTGTAGCTGAAGCTTGCTCGTGTTTGAAGCCAGAAAGCCTCAAAGCAGGTGGGCAAAACCCAGGAAACTCCAAGAATCAGGCCCAGCTTCGCTGCCAGGGTGGCATACGCCATATCAGAAATACCTTGGAGTCTGTCTGGGAAGAAGAACAAAATTTCCAATTCTGAGTTCATCAGTGAGCTGAAATGTTGGATGTTTGTGTTGTGGATGTTCCAGGTGTCACTCATGTCTAGAAGGGAAGAAGCCATGTCATGAGACAAAATTTGCCCTTTCCACTTCAATCAGTGGTTTATCAACTCCCTTCCAGTTTCCTACATATTTTCCAGTGAAGTGTCATTCCTCACTTGTATTGCAAGCGTAAGAGCAACAGTTAGGCTTGCTTTTGCATTACTTTCTTTGGGCCTGTCTGAAGTAACATGCACACCCAAAGAAGTCCACAGGTTGAAAACTAGTGTCTCAAATCATGTTCAGCTTTGAAAGGCAGTGATCATTTACGTAGTGATGGTGGTGTCCATTCCTGCAGTGTAGCATATCTGGGTGCTTCCAAGCTGTGTATCAGATTCATGTTGCCTCCTGTTACCTTTTACTCTAGTTTGATAGTAGATGTTATGTGAAGGATCACAGCATTGCCCTAAAAGCGGCTGATTTTGCAGTCCAGGCAAGTACGGTGCATGGCAATGTTGGAGAAATTGGCAGGTGGAAAGGAGGGGGGAATTGCTGAAGGTCATCTGCATCCATAAGAGGTGTGTTAAGCCTTGGCTGCTTTCTCTGCTCCCATGAGGTCTCTCTTGCCCACACAGTGCTCGGCTCTTTCATGAGTTACAGAGTGCACCAGATAACTGTCTTCGCCCGTACACTGACACCTGTCATAAGCAGCCCGAACAATACATAAATGAGTTGACATCAGCAGTAAATGGCTTTGGGGAGGCAAGGTTTGGTCCAAATGACTGCAGGGAGCGGGTACTTTCAGAATGGGATTCCACTGTATCTCCGTTTGTAATGACCCTGTGGTTTCTTGTGCTTTCCAAAACAGGTAACAAAAGCGATTAGGCTTTGGGTGATTTTCTTCCCCTCTTCCTCTTATTTTTATTGAATATGACTCTTTGCTGAGCTTTCCCGTGCTCCCCTTTCTTTCATTTTCCTCCTGAACTGCAGTATCTCTGTAATTTAAAGAGCACAATTCAGACAGCAGACCGAGAAGGTGGATGTAGAGCTACCTCTGTTCCCAGAGAGGTGGCTGTGGTGAGGACCACAACATGCATTGCAACTCTGTGTAGGCTCAGTGCAAGAGTCCTACCTGCATGGCACCTATGAAGACCTTTCTCTTTGAAATACCTTGAAATACACCTAATGTCCTTGATAAAAATAAGATAACCTAACTTATGTTTAAAAGGTAATTACTATAATTAGGAGCTATATATATTTATTTCCTGGATATTTATGCTAGAACTAATGAGCTATTACTAAAACGTTCATCCCTCTCTTTGAAAATCAGAATGATGTAATTTAGCGTGATAGAAATTACTCTGTTGTTTCTTCTTTGTTTCAACACTTTATAGCTGTAAAAAGGGCTTAGACACTGAAAGGGATAATATGTCTTAATTTCCATTTTGTCAGTGAAAAAATGAATGGCTAATTGCTTGTAAGGGTCTCAGCCACGTACAACCTGACAGGTATTTTGGAGGCAGGACTTACTGAGAAGTACACAGTATTTTATTCAGTGTTGATCTAATTATATTCCTGTTTGAAGGAATAGATGATCAATAATTTCAGCAGAGCTGAGTATTTAAATGAATATTTAAAATATTCTACCATAAAACACATTATGGCATTTACACGTGGTGTTCAAAATGGAAGAAAATTTGTACCCAAACTGGGAAAGAAAAACTATGAATATTGCTTCTGGTTTTATTTAGGGAAAAGACAGCAAAAATACAAAAAAACCCAACACTGACATCTTAAAAAACTGTTGTGGAGCTACTTTCTCCCACAGAATTACCATTCAGATTAAATCCTTCTTATTATACAATTTTGACTTACATCTGTCACTACAACTTCCCATTCCAGCTTGGTAGGTTTCTCATATTCACCATTCTTTCTCTAAACAGGTGCTTCACTAGATGTGTAAGCTTTTTTTTCCTTTGTGCTCTAGGATTTTCCTAAGTACCTAGCTTTTTCAAAGCTAATTGTATACTTAATAGAGATTTAAAATTGTTCTGTTCTTTAAATCATTCCAGTCTTTCCACTTTCTCAGCAGACACTAGCATTATTTTCCTTGAGGAGCACGGGTGGTCTGAGTTGGGCTGAGTTTATGTAAGAAAATATTGCATGAGGAAGTTTATTTAGGGAGGAGTCCATAACCAGACGTGGTCTTTGAAGCAGCAGCCAGAGGTTAAACTGGCTCACTCATGGGGAATTCTTCGTAGCTTAAACACCACCAGTCTCCTTTGTGCAGATGAATTTCTGAGTGGAGCAAAACTATAGTAGTTTTGCCATGAAGAGCCCAAGTAACATGAGCAGGGAAGGAAAGGGCTTTGGGACATAGGAATTTGTATGTCCCACCCCGACAGCTCCATTCATGGATCCAGGCAAGGAACAGCTGTTGGGTGTTTGCATGGAGGGACCTGACCCTGGATCAGAAGAGGACCATTTAATGAGTCTTTCCCTTTTTGCAGATTTTTAAGACAGGAACATGTCTTATGCCCAGGGCAGGTATTTTAACCCATTTATGGGTGCCTGAAGGGGAGGTATTAAATGCAAGCAGAGCAGGTGCTATACACTGGCCACCATGTGGGTGACTGTTTTACTGCTGGTTCATCCAAGTCAGCCAGAAGAACTAAGTGGATTTTTAGTCTGATCTCAGATCCTAATGAAACCCGTACAACACCCTCAGTGCCGTGGGGACATATACACCTCAAGCATCACACTGGTCCCAAGAGCTCTTCAGGTTCCCAAGAGCTCTTCAGGTTCCCAAAAGCAGTTGCAACGGTTGACACCTTCAGGTTTCAAACAACGCTGTGATCTTCTTGTTGGGGCTGCTGCGGGAGGGGGTAAGGCACAGTCCTTGCTGTGAGAAGTTTGTAGTCAAAATCAGTTGAACAGAGAATAGTGGAAGAAAAGGGTAAATGTTTCGGGGCAGCAAGCGGGAAAGTGAAATGCACTGGGAGGGTTAGGATTTCTTGGGGAACCACAGTGCCTTTGACAATCTCTACCTCTGGTAGCTTGCCCCAATTTAAATAGTAATTCTTTAGCAGGGGAGACAGTCCTGTTTGGGCCTTTTCTTTTTCCTCTGCTCATGTTTGCAAGGCTTGACCATCTCTTTTGTACTAATGAGGGTCTGTATACGGAACCTGTTGAATCTTGAATGTACTCCTTTGCCTCAAAAAGATGAGAATGAATGTCATTGACAGTTACTATGTTGTAGATAACTTAAGACCTGAGTTAATGTTGCATTTGCAAGAGAATAATTGAAAACATTTTTAGGGCAAAGCATGCTGTTAGGACTTGGATTTAGTTCTGTTTAACCCTTGAGCAAATTGTACAGCATTCCTGGTGACCAGTTACCAGTGGTAAAGGATCCGATTACCCATGAGGCCCATAACAGATTTTGCAGAAGATTTTACTTTCTGCTCCAAGATCTTAACACTCCTGGATTCTGTGCAGGATTGCTCTGTTTTCTGTGACACTGTGAGTGCATCTTGGCATTTTTGTTAATCAATATAGGTTGCGCTAACTTCTTTCATAAAAGGAGCAGTTTTGGTTTGCCATTCATTTTGCTCAGAGGGGCCTTTTGAGTATGGATAACTGGTTTCCCTCTCCTCCTCCAGTATTTTAAAAGTCACACAGTTCAAGTGATAAATCTGTAGGCAACAACCTCAGCAGTTACTGCTGCAGAGCATATTTTGACATTGGATCATGCCAAAGCAAAAATGGTGGCTGCAGGAGAGAAAAGCCCTAAACAAATCAACTGTGTCAAAGCTGAGCATCAGACCTGGGAACATATATTTGTTAGACATCTTGAACACTTGGTGTTGGTAAGAAACAGCTCAATTAACGTAGTCATGCAGACTGACATCCGTGTACGTTTATACTTGGAAGAGTGATGTGCTTTGTAAAGGTCACGCATTGAAGAATCAGTGAGGAATTGCAGGTGTATACAAATCAGAAAGTCATACATTAGCAGTAGTAATTACTGATAGCATCAAAATGTTCTGTATTTTTATTTTCCTTGTAGTTCTGGTAATTAAGCTTGGATCTTGGTAACAAAATACAGATGCTGCTCTGTTGCCATCGGATTCATCAAGAACAAAATAATAACCAGAGGCTTGTAAGCTCAGAAAATGTGGTGTGGGGCTGGAAGGCAGGTGTTACCAGGGACCCATAGATACCCTCTAAATGTCAGCTGCTGGCTTGTTAATTTATAAATTACAAGTATCTACTAATTATACACTTATCTCTGAAAAATTGTGCTTACAGTTGTTAGCTTGACGTACAGTGCTGCTTGACATGGATAGGATTTGCCTTACCACGTAGGAAGACGGGCCAACCTAAGTACCATACTGTCGTCTTGGTAGTTTAAAAGCCGTTATACTGCAGTTCAAGTTTTCTTATGTTTTCTAGGGTGCACAAAGAACTTACCTCCTCTTTTCACAGAATCACAGAATGTCAAGGGTTGGAAGGGACCTCTGGAGATCATCTAGTCTAACCCCCCTGCTAAAGCAGGTTTCCTGGGGATACAGCATTACAGTACCTGCTGAAAAACTGCTTTTTTTCTTTTTCTTTTCTTTTACTTTTATCACACATACATAACACTGGTCTGGTGTCCATACATAAACTAAAGGTCAGTGAGATATACATGAGGCAGAAACTTGCTGGACATCTTAGAGTTGTGCAAAAGCCAGAGCTTTCTGGTAATGTGTTCCCCTGCTGAGCAGGAAGATCATTTGCGAATAAGCTGTGGTTTGTTATCTCTTATATGGAGGGACGCTCTGTCCTGGCTGTCCCCCAGGCTTCCTGCAGGTCTGCAGCTGGCCACTTAAGATCCCCTTTCCCCACCTAGAGGACGGGGAGGTTTGGAGAAAGAGTGCCTTGCACCTTGGTGGGGCAGTCAAACTCAGAGTTCATTTGACCACTGCGGGAAGGGAGCTGTAGAGCTGGTGGCACTTGGGGCTGACCTCCAAACCAGTAGGTCTCTCCAGGAGGATGGCCAAGTACTGAAGGGCTCAGATGTGAGTTGGTGGTGGCTCCAAAACCAGGCTTTCAAGCCAGGCTGAACTTGCAAAGCTCAGATGTAGTGGCACCATTGATGCTTAAACACATATGCCTTTGTACTTGTAGAATAGAATCATAGAATTGTTTAGGTTGGAAAAGACCTTTAAGATCATCAAGTCCAACCATGACCCTAATACTGCCAAGTCCACCACTAAACCATGTCCCTAAGCACCTCATCCACCCATCTTTCAAATATCTCCAGGGATGGGGACTCAGCCACTTCCCTGGGCAGCCTGTTCCAATGCTTGACAGCCCTTCCAGTGAAGAAATTTGTCCTAATATCCCATCTAAACCTCCCCTGGCGCAACTTGAGGCCATTTCCCCTTGTCCTATTGCCTGTTACCAGGGAGAAGTGACCAACCGCCACCTCACTACAACCTCCTTTCAGGCAGTTGTAGAGGGCAACAAGGTCTCCCCTCAGCCTCCTCTTTTACAGACTAAACCCCAGTTCCCTCAGCTGCTCCTTGTAAGACTTGTGCTCCAGACCCTGCACCAGCTTTGTTGCTCTCCTCTGGACATGTTCCAGCAACTCAATGTCTTTCTTGTAGTGAGGGGCCCACGGCAGAAACCACTGATGGCTCTTCCATTCAGCTGTCAGTTAGAGGGGCTCATTTAAGTGGCAGAAACGTGGATTTAGGCTGTAATCACTTCATATTTTGAAAAGACGGGTGGCGGCTGGCAAGCCTGGGCTGGGAGGACTGGGGAGGGGATGATGTGGCTGCTGTGTACTGAAGGATGGCTGCCACCGTTTTCCATTAGCCGATGGAAATGGTGGACATCCAAGCAGTTGAGCAGCCAGAGGGGCAGGAGGCCTTTCTTGGCCCTCAGCACAAGGAGCACAACTTAAATTTGTGTCTCCCTTTGTCCTCTGCCCTATTGCATTCAGTGCAGTAATGCAGATACTGAGAAATACAGCCCCTGGATATCTAGGAACCTCTGAATTGCTTGACTTAGCTATGAATTTGGGTGGTGTGGTTTTCTGTACGGAGTGCCTTTTATTGTTGCTGTGTTTTTACAGTCCTACCAATGGGTAGCTATTGTTCTGTTTACTGAATTTCGCTGTTGTTTCTGGTCTTGTTTTTTCCCTCACTCAGGATTTGATCCAAGAAATAAATGAATTACGGTTGAGAGTGGGAGAAATGGACAATGAAAGACTCCAGTATGAGAAAAAACTGAAGACAACCAAAGTAAGTGAGACTGAGGGGAGGAAGCAGAGATGGGTGCAAGTCAGGTTTTAGAAGATCGATCTCTTTTCCCCAGTCCGTGCATGCACCCTGCAAAATCCTGAGCACGCTCAGGCCCAGGGGTTTCATGGTACTCACTTAGCAACAGGGGTTATTTCTAAATTTCATGCTATGGTTTTCAGATCCGGGCATTGTTTTTTATGAAGGGTAACTTGCCATGCAGCTGGCTGCTAACAGTAAATTTATTGCCTGTATAGACCCTTGTTTCACGTATGTGTCAAGAAACACCAGTTGCAGTACATAAGGTGTGTGCCATAGGTGAGACCAAAGCTGAGCCTTTATTTTCTCCTAAATGTGCTAAAAATCAGCCACTTTTGAAGAGAAAGCATTCACCTAAGTAATTCTAGCAGCCTGTTTCTGTGTCTAACTTCTCTTTGCCATTTAGCCTTGTCTCTTTTCTATCTTTAGTTTTCTCTCACTCCTCTGTCTCTGTTACCAGTCTTTAATGGCCAAACTTTCTAGTATGAAAATCAAAGTGGGTCAGATGCAGTATGAAAAGCAGCGGATGGAGCAAAAAAGCCAGATGCTAAAGGTGTAGTAGTTTCTGGGTAACATGGGGCCTGTTTTGAATCCTTCGTGTTCCGCTGTTTTATGGTCTTGTCTTGCATCGTGCTGTCATGCTGTTACTCATTAATTGCTGTGTGTTGATACGCAGTGCACTCTTTCCCATTAGATTTGGAAAGCTCTTTATATGGATATTCCTTGTAAACAGCTTTTATATTGGATGGGAGAGGGTTTTAGTGTTGTGAACTTTGCATAGTTTGCACATAATGGAATTAGACTTGGGGTAAAATTGTTCCCCTTCCAAGGGAAGATTGCCCTTTCTGTAGCTTATGTCCATTATTCAAATGGAATTTTTTCTCACCTTCTTAGAGAAAATTTGTTCATGAAAACTAGCTAGAAAATAGTGATTCTTTTACATTTTCCCCTTTCCCATGTGTAAATTTACATATTGTGTTTCTTATTCAGGGGAAGAAATACACATCAACAACCATATGCAGCTTTTGTTGCCCATGGGTATAACAGCAGCTTCTCAAGTGATCAAGAGATGGTCTTGTTTTGGAGAAGCATGGGTCCTATACTGAGAGAAATCCCATCAAAACCAGTACCAAATTGGAGCACTGGAGGATTGTATTGCCCAACCAGTGTTCTGGAAGAAGCTTTGATTTCTTGACAATTTTAAGATTGATCTATTTTTTAACGATGCTTTAGAGCAAACAGGAACCAATTTCAGGAAACTCTTGTAGGCTGGGCCATAGTTTGGGTCACAGACACCACTGTGTATTTGCAACAGGTCTTTTGAGGGAAGCTCAGGGATATACCTAAGCCACAGTATTCTAGTTTGGTTTAATCCTTTAAGGATTTAAAACTTCAGTTAGAAGCTGTAAATGCCAAAATTACAAGTCTTGCCTTGTTTTGTTTTGTTTACAAACTGAACAAATTAAATTTTCAGTGTTGGGTACATTTGCACTGAGGGTCCTGTCTTGATGATGCTGTTGCACAAGATATCCTCGGACATCAAAGAAACATGTTACTAAACTGGGTAGGATCTGACTCAAATTTTAAAAAGTTAAATGCATGGATCCGTGCCAGTCCCTTGCTAGTGCAGATGGTTAGATCTAAGTTAAAATTTGACAGCATTTATCTGATACACCCCAACTCCCCCAAACACCATCTGTCTTATTCCCATGAATCTCAACTCTAAGCTTCCTTTCCTAATGCTTGATCAGCAAACCCAAACTGTGGCAGAGGTACCATGTTTTCATCTGAACTTCGTTGCAGTATGTCTTTATGTGCTTGATGGTGTCGTGATTGAATTTTCTTTCATAGAAGCAGTGTTTTTTTCTGAAACTGTCCTCAGCCTGATGTAAGCACAGTTCCATAACTGTCCAGCTTTGAACATACAAAATTCCCTATAAATAACAAAATAAGTGTTTGTAAATTTTAGCATTTGGCCTCATCACCTGCACTTTTTCTATCTCTGCGAGGTTAAATAAATAAGAAAACTGCTTTTTCTGCTTTGCTCTTTCTTTTTTTAAATTTAGGTGTAACATCTCTTTTCAGTTATACATGAGACTGACACTTTTGGACCATAGGCCGCCTGGTTTTGCCCCCTTATGGACTTAGCGGTCTGTTGTGATGTTCAGAGTCAGTTTGGTGGGTGTACCGTCAGCCAGTGTAAATGTCAGGGGGCCCTCGGTTGTTTCCACCGGCTGAGGACCTGTCCCCTGTGCTTCATAGGAGGGAATTTTGGAAACGTCTCAGATGCATATGGAAGCTGTCACTGAGCGATTCTCTGTCTGTTACAGGATGAGCTAGCAGCTTTGAAAGACAAACTAGAGCAGAAGGAAGCCGAGGTAAAAAGGTTGCAAGAAAAATTGGTTTGCAAGCTGAAAGGAGAAGGAATTGAAATACTGGACAGAGGTAAGAAGAAAGGAGGCTCTCTTACAATGTCCTTCTCAGTCACCTCATCTGAGGTCATGCTTCCATGAATGGTTGTACAGGAAATAACAGATAAAAGCCTCAATTTTCATATACTTCCTGTCTTCGTGCTTACTTCTTTTAATATATTTAGTGGGTGTTCACAATGCAACTTCTGAACCTACTGTCATAGCAAGTTCTTGATCAACTTTAAACTAACCTGAGTAATCCCTAGCTAGCTCTCTATGTGGCTAGCATGGTGCCTCAGAAGATGCACTTTATATTGGCAACGAAATCCTTAAACTAATTTCAGCAAGTTCCCCCAAAAGATTATACTGAGAAGGAAACTTTCTGTGTGGGTATCTATGCTGAGCTTTGCTTGTACACCCCTTACTGGTAAGAAAGGGGAAAAGCATACTGCAAACCAAAGTATGATATGTACCAGCAAATCTTCAGAGTGGACCTAGCTGTAAGTAGGTGAAATTGAGGACTGGTTCTGGATTTGTGCAATCCTTAAGTCTAAATCCTAATTAAGCTTGAATTAGCGCAGACATTTTACATGTCAGATAATTCTTTTATTTGCTTGCAAAGAAGAAACTAAATCAGTATTTATTTGGGGGAAACTTGGATTCAGGAACTTGTTTAAAAATATAAATTTTTCTTTAAAGCTTCACAAAAATTTCCCACAGACTTTTTTGATCTGCTGCAATTTCACTTCTGAATATATCTCATGGATAGTTTTTGCTGATTTTAAGATTGTGCTTTTAAAGTACTTTTTTTTAGAAAAATAAAGCCACAAGAGATCAGTTAGTCTTCTCCCTGCCCTGAGGAGGAAAATTCTCTGTGTAGATTGTCACATTTTATTTAATAAAATGATCTGTTTTCAAAACCACTGCGTAAGATCACAAAAAGTGAACACACTGAACTATGGTTGGTTGGGTTTTTTTTAAATTAGAGCATTTAAATGTGAACAAGGTCTGACTTTATTGCATTTATGACTACTTATATGGGGCTTTTCTTCTTGGGGGCTGCTGTGTATGTTGAACTCCTGTTACCCTCTGGTTCTCAGCTTTAGTTTAGTTTTCAGTAATAGCTCAGCAGATCTTCTGCCATGATGAATCATGTTTTTTCTGCCTTGGACCCATATTAAGTAATGGTGTTTGCAGATAACACAGGTTATCTGCCCCATTAGCTGAGTTGTGCTTTCTGAACAAGTATGCATACGTTATCACATAGTTGGCTTTTGCCAGTAAAGTGTTAGCTTAAGAGTAATCTTTTGGCATAAGCCTTTTCTGAGGCCTTACGGGTGAACACATACAGTTGAAAAATATATCCTTGAGACAGGTAGTTGTGTATGAGAGCAGCCAGACTATTTTGTGTCATTAGGAACGTTAGCCCCGGGGGAGTGCAGGTTGAAACCGTGAACTGCTGGCTTCTGCAATAATACATCAGGAATAGCGGAATCCTTAAGTATCAATATTGTGTTAAAAGTTATTTAATGTCATAACCTTCATGCTAATTTCAAATCCAATGGATTTTCCTGCACAGATGAAAACTGTAAAAAGAAGCTCAAAGATAAAAGTAAGGTTTCTGGTGTCTTTCCACAAGCATTTGCATTTCAGAAGTGCTTTCCAAAATAGTTTTCTGCATGTGTTTGCAAAACTGCTTTAACAAACATTGTTAGGTTGCATCATCTATAATCCTTAGTTACACTTACAGTAAAATTTGAGAATAAGGGTGGATATATCACATTTGAAATAGAAGAAAACCTGATATACAGAGATTTGGTCTCACTGAGACTCACAAAACCAGTTGCCTCTCAATGAAATGCAGTCTCAATCCAGTAAACCAGATTTTCAGTTAGCATAACTGAGTGAAAATCATTGGAACTGGATCGGTTGCTGGTTTAGCCCAGTGTGTCTAAATGTCTTTCTAGAAAGCCAGCCAGGCAGCTTGTTTTCTTCTTGCATTTCGTTAAGGAGGAAAATGTTCTTCCCACTCTTGTTTGTTTTCTGAGAAATTTTAGGAAGTTAAAACAAGGTGAAATGCTCTCTTGTCAGTATTTGGCCACTTGCCTATGTTTGTAATGAGATTTAAAGTTTACTTTGTTTATGCAAGGTAGATTTTTAGCCAAAATGGAGATTATTTCAATTCTTTCTGAATTTCTAGTCCAGAACACCTCCAAAACCTAACCTTGTCAAAACATAAAGGTTTCCATGTGTTTATACTTTTTTGTAAGTAAGGATTATAGATGAAAAACAGAACATTGTCATCTCTACTAGGGACCTTTTCTGAGTCTGAACTACAATATATATTCTAGCATGACTGCTCATCACAGCAAATACTTGTATCATTCCATTATGCTGTCCTCATTTCTACATCCATACTGAATTAAGACTAAGCATCACTGCACAGTGCTTTCTTCATCATATCCATTAATCCTATTGTTTTATATAATGGGTTTTTGAGATGCCATTTGGGGTGTTTGTTGGCTGTGGTAATGAGGATGTGTTTTACTGCACTCCATATGTAGTATTTTATATTTTGGACTTCCTGTTTTGCAATTATTTGCTTATTTGAAAGATGGAGATAGTGAAAGTCAGGCAGTAGTTTTACTCTTGACTTTTCCATTTTCCTAAGGCTGGGGATTGGGTAAGGGAATTTCCTGAACTTCATCGTTTCCTTGATAAAAATGTCAGAAAAAAGGTTTTGAATAAAAAGGGGTTTCTTCTATATATTTCCATCTAAAATAGAATTTAAGGGGCTTATGTTTTGTCTTTTAATTTGTAAATTTACTTTTCAGATATTACTGAGTTGCTTCTAGGTTTTTTGTTTTTCTTATTTCCTTACACTGTCATATTTAAATTGACTTAGAGAACTGTATTGTGTTTTTAGATATAGAGGTACAGAAAATGAAGAAGGCAGTAGAATCTCTAATGGCGGCAAATGAAGAGAAGGTAGCAAAGTCATTATTTTTTCAGTAATCATTCATTAGATTGAGAAGATCTTCACATATGAACTTGTCACAATTCAATTAAAAAATCAAATTTGTAAGAATCAGTGATTCTCTATATATAGTCAGAAGCACTGCAGTGCCTTTAAGGGACAATAACTGAGCATTTATGAGCTCTGTCGCATGTACACAGGGTCCTTACACTGTTGTGTCATTCAGTTCAGTGCGACTGCAATTTACACCATGTTCTGAAAATGTAAAGAGCTCCATACAAGTCCCGTAAGATACCACAGGCTGCATTTCCAAAAGGGCTTTCTGTAAAGTATGGATTGTTTTTATGCATGGTTTTGTGCCTTCATACACATGTGCATTTTGTAGGATGTTTTCTTTTGATCACCAAAGCCCTAAATCCTTTGATTACTGCTTTCTTTGTACATGGCAAATTTATTATACTCTGCCTTTGACTTAACGAGGGACCTGAAATTACTTTCAAGGCTGGGACAACTCTGGTGATGAACCAGATGATAGTTTTTGCTAAATGTAAGTTTTGATATTTCAAAGCCTCTCAGAGTTCTGGGTCCTGTCCCACCCACACTTTCCATTTCTTTTAGTCTCAAAGCCAATTAAACTGAAGAATATCTAGTATTTGTATTTCTTATTTTTGATTTGCTGAAGGAAGAAGCACAGTCACAACTTTCCTTTATTTTTTCTACTCTCATTTAAACTCTAGGTGCATTGCGGTAGTGTTATATCAATTCTTAGACTTACTATCTTTGGAGGCATCTCTTAGGTAGAGTGAAACCCAGTTCTTCAACTGGTGTGAACTGATAAATTGCCTTTTTTATCCAAGCAGCTGCATGTTTGGGTGCTGTCCCATTTACCATCTGGTAGTAGTAACTATTATTGTCATGTTGCTTATTTCCCCCTTGTAAAATTAGTTTGAATATGATAAGCTCTCAGCCCCTTTCCATAGCCTCCTGAAATGCCCTTCAGGGCTGGCTGCTACCTTAACTGCTAAAAATTGCTGTTCCCCTCTCTGGCGTATATTCCTGAGGAGGGGTTGGTAGCTGAGCAGAGCAGTGCCTGAGCACACACGTTCCTACAAACCAAACCAGCACCGCCTCAGCGGCTGTGCACACTGTAATAGCAATGCCCGAGAGCTGCAAAAATGCCCATAGCAAAGTGGATGTGCTGCCAGGACTGTGTTGCGATGACACACCATGTCTTTGGCACGTGATGAAGCCTTCACAAACCACCACATGCAGCAGCTGTGGAATAGTTGTCCTTCCTTACCACAGTGGGTGGCCAGGCTGGCTTTTCCTAACAGTCTTTTTTCATACCACCGCCACTCCCTCCCCACCCCCCAAGAAAAAAGCCTTTTCTGCCACCAGATAATGAGCTTAACTGTGTGTGCCTGAAATGGTAGCTATAATCCATATCGTAATATGTAACAGTCCATTCCATATGTTCTAAGACTGGTGGAGGTTTCCAGATCCAGTAGCTTCTGATCCCCAAAGGTGATAAATGTTGAGGTGATCATCAGTTTGATGTAATTGCATTGAATACCCCGTCTCTCTCCTTTCTCCCTTAAAAGAAAATCAAAAGAAACACGTGCAGAACATTACACTGAAACGGTTCTGGGTTTTCAGATGAAAACACTTAGATGTTAGAAAACTAGCATCTCCCTTTACAGCAATAATCCTGGCCTAGTGGATTTTTTCCCTGCATCATCCTGTTACTTCAGCACTCAAGTTGCATTTTTGTAGGTCACTGTTCTCTGAAAGATCTGTCCTCAACAAATTTTAGACGTTAGCATTCTGATAATGTATGCAGATCATATGCGCAAGTCTGTGCACCACAGTGTTGTATTTACTGCCTTACGGAAACTTCCTTTATCATTGAATCCTCTGAAGGCCAGAGAAGGCCAATCCAGTCTTCCACATACCTTGAATTGACTGGAGCTCGTTGCTTGAGCTTCTTTAGGACAGACAAGGGCTTGTGGCTTTTGTTGGCCATGCAAATGTTGGAGGTGGATGCGCTTCCTAGGAGAGGGATGTAGGAGCCTGCAGGGATCCTTTCAAAGAGTGACGATTGTCAATAGCCAGAAATGAGCGAGGAGGCCAAATATGTATTTTTGTGATGGTGGATTCACGTTTGGTCTCTTGGGTCTGCTGTCTTGGGCTAAGGTAGGAAAAGTGGAGGGCAGAGCCCCATCTGGACATGGTGCCAAGACTGGGGCTAAGACCCATGGAAAAGAAAGGTTCCTGGTGGCCCCTCTTTGCTTCTGCCTTGCTTTTGAGAGGCCATCCATGTGGGGAGGCAGGAATTGCAGCAGTGAGATCCTGACCTCTGCTCCTGAGGTTGCCAGCTGATTTGCAGGGCTGCATGAAAGCCCTCAACCACAGTCTCCAGCTGTCTGTCCTGCTCCCCCACGAGCACTGCAGCCCTGAGGTGGGTGCAGCGGTGGGTTCAGGAAGCAGCTTCTCTTAGTCCGGCATCATGGATGTAAGCCTGGACAGGAGCTGACATGTGCCAGAGCATGCTGGGCTGAAAACTGCATGTTGACTTCGGATCTTGGTCTGTAAGGGCTTTTCCTTCCTTGCAACCACTGAGGGGCACTAAGGACACAGCTGCATGCCTTTGATCTGGAAGGCTGGGAAAGCACATTATCAGTGAGGGAAAAGGAAAGCTGGTGATGGGGGCAAAACACCATGCTGAGTGTTGGAGGAGTAGCTTTTTGTAATAGGTACTGCTCTTTCCCACGGTGTTATGCCTTCAAAGACAGGAGGATGTTAAAACAGACCCCACGTCTCTGGGAGCTGTGCTTTATGGTCAATTTGTGGAGCATGGACAGAGATTTCAGGCAGTGAAAAAATGGGCAAGAGAAGTTTTTGCTATGAACAGACTTTGGCTTGTGTTTGCATCAGGTCTTTGGCAATGAGTGCTAGGTTTCTGCTCGCTTTTTAGAAAGTATTGGTTGCCTTTAACGTTTTCTTGACAGTGTCAGTACTCTGGTATCTGGGACAAGCATGGAAATCCAAGCCTTTTGGTAGTACTGAGGCCGTTCAGGAGCAGCAAGTCGCTTGCTGGGAGCAGAGGATGCCAAATGCTGGTGTGGACTACAGCATTAACTAACTGAGATGCACTCAGCTTGTGGCAGTCTGCATGCATAATTGTAGTTGCTTAAAAGCTGGTGTTAGACTTGTGCAGTGGGCTGCATTTTTCCTATGGGTAACCTGAAGATACCATAGAGACATCTTAAGTTGCAGGCACACTTGACTCCCTGGTCTTTGCCTAGTGAATAAGGGAAATGAAGTATTTAGTATGAAATTCCAGTATGAATTTCCACCGGGACTGGAAATAAGTACTCCAGTTTATTCAGCTTGTGAAACTGATCCCACTAAATGCCCTAAGGGCATCTGCTGGGCTTTTTGCTGCCAGGTGTATGTCCTCCCTCTGCTCCAACCCTGCTATGTTGCAGTGGTTGAATTGGGAAGTGGCATTTGGCAATGGCTCCCATTCTCCTGTTGTAATCTGTCCTAAAAAAAAAAGTAAATCCTAGCCTTTTCCCCTTTTGGCCCATAAATGAGCACACCAGCTGCGCCTTGCATGGGAGAGAGGGTCATCATGTAGAATTAAAGCCAGCAAGTTTCCATCTTCTCTCTCTTCAGGCAAGGAAAGTGACGGTGAAGACTTCTTGAATTCGGGGTCTGTTTCCACGGTTTTATTGGACACACCAAGTCTGACTGACCCAGAGAAAAGCCCATCCCCGACCCCAGTAACAGCATCTCCAATCCACGATGAGTTTAACATGAATATTCATGAGGAGGTATCTTTTTTTTCTTCCTCACTTAATGCCATCACTCCTTGAAAACATTGCTTCTGCTGGATTCATATTGCAGATGCCAAAACTCAAGTTTCTGAAAAGATTTTTTCGGGCTTGCACAGTTTACAGTAATGTCCCATATAGCTTTGGAAAATGTAATTTTCTTGTGAAAGCTCTTGAGGAGTTTCATTTGAGTTCAGTTAAATTTATTTTTCTTAATCATCAAATGGGATCAGGAGACAGCAAATAGCTGTATTTATCATGAAAATGGGTCTAAACTATTTTTCCTATCAAACATAGAAATTACTTCTCATATCAAGCATAGCTGGTTTAGCAGCTGCATTTAATTTGTCAGGAACTTGAAGTAAACATGTTGGGACTTACTTAATATATCCTGTCATATTTAAAAGGATGCAATCATCATTACATCCATTCAGTTAAATGCTAAGTAGGCTGTGGTCCAACCTCTGATGTTTAAAATCACATTTTCCAGTAATAAAGCTATAGATCTCTTCTCTTAGAGCTCTGAGTCAGAGCAGGGACTTGACTTACTTAACTAAACAGCATGAATATACTATGAAGAAAAGTAAATTAAATTGTTTAGCAGCTTTTTGGTATTCTCTGAGTGGCTGAGGACAGTATTAACCTGAAAAGTTAACTACCCTTCCCGGGGTCTGTGGTAGAGATAGATTTAGCAAGCAGCTTTGGCAGACTTGTGAGATTTTTGTCCATGCTGTAGCTTATCTGTGCAGTGATTCATGTTTTATCTTTAGTGCCATCTCTCAAGTAGTAAATCGTTGTATTATAACAGAAAGAAAGAAAAAAAATCACTTTTAAAAATCTTATTTCAGATCCTTCTTTTCATAGTTTATCTTTTTTCATTGATGACTGCTTATTTTTGGCTCAAAACAGTGTAACACATATTCTTCATTTTTTTTTAGAATTCCTTACAGATCCACACCAGTATTTTACAGATTTCAATCCCTTCTTTTTCATCAACATCCAAGAGCTCAGAAACTGTTGCAGAGAAAGTGAAAACACAGCCTAGGCCAGATCCTGCAAGTGAACTGAGGTATTATTGTTTCCATGTATTTTTCAATTGTAAATCCAATTAATTATAGTAATAATCTGTCAGTTACTGTATTGTCAAGTCATTAAGTCAGTTAAACAAGAGTAGCATTCACTTGACTGGCTATAGCCAACTAAGCTTATGTTCATGAAGTGCATTGATGAAGTCTTTTCCAGCAAGTGTTAGTTTGGTTGCTGCTGCTTGTAGCAGCACTCATACACTATACCAGCTGCTTTGCAAAAAATGAACAGAAGGAGAGAAAAACTTATCTAATGTAATGAAGGACACAGAATCATTATTTTTATCTAGGTTTACATCATCTAGGTCTGGCTTGAGATAGTGTTGGCTGTGCTAGCACAAATGCATCCCTGATGATTTGCATTCAGACATTTCCCACAGTTACTAAAGACTGGTGTAAGGCACTGCCAAAAGTGCAACAGAAGAACTGTCCAGCTCTAACCTTGAGCTGTTAATGGAGCCCCCGAAGGAAACCCAAGCAGTGTTTCAAAAGATCAGAGAAAGAGCTATCCTTGCTGCTGTCCTTTGGCATGACAAAATGCAGAGATAGTTCTTCGCTCGCTCTTATGAGAGCCCTGCATGAGATTTTGAAAGCTGGACGAAACGCATAGGCACAGCATCCCAGGGAAGCTGGGGCAGGGATGTGTGGCTGCACCCCGGGGCTGTGGATGAGCTGTGGCACCCAGGGGCCCCCCATGCTTGAACCCAGTGGCAGCCTCCTGGGTGGGAAGTGGCTGTTGGCTTCCTCCAGCATTTCTAAGCCTGCACCCACTTGCCTGGGTGAGGAATCCCTTGCAGACCTGGACTGGCACTGCAGTGAGTACTGAAAAGCACACCAGACTTGCAGCTAGACAAATGCTAGCCTTTTTTCTTCTGGGTCCAAATCCCTGGCTTTACCTAAATGAGTATCGATTACTAAGAATCCAGAGACAAGAAAGTCTTGTTGGCTTAAAACCATCATCTATCTCAATGTGAAAAATCAGCACAAACACAAGTTGGTTTGTGATTTTTCCAGTTCCAGTCAAGGAAAGCATCCTATCCAGAAGACCAGCTTTGCTTAGTTCCTGCTGTGCTGTGCCTCATGCAGCTCTAGCCATCGCCAGCAGGGATTTCATCTGTGTCCTGTCTTGGAAAAACCCAAACAAAGCACTAACCTGCAGCAGAATTCGCCGCACTGGGGGTGACGCACAGGGAGCCGGTGACCTCCACTACTTGGTGCTGCTGCAGACCCTGCACGTGCTGTAACTTCTGCATTTATTTAAGCTGAATGGTGCCATATTGTCATCAACTTACAGTGCGAGATGTCTTTTCTGGGGTTTTTCAGCTCACCTTTGTCCTTTGTCTTTTACAAGACACACCACAGCAGAGGGGAAAATTCACCATGCGTTAGTACCGTAACAGGTAAAGTGATAACAGGATTAAAGCAGGCTGAGATGATAGGATTTCTGTATCAGCAAGGTATTTGGGGTGGATCCCCAAATGCCTTGCTTTTTTTTTATATCTTTTTTGGTTTCACAGTGAAGGAAGATCAACAGGTTCCTCCCCAGAAACTCAGCTGTGTGATAGTCCAGTGTAAGTATCATAATAAAAATGCTTAGGAAACATATTTATATGTGATTGTTGACTTGAAATCCCCCAACGCACCCCCCATATTTCACATACAAGTGTAAATATGTCAACTAATGCTAGCCAAGATGATAATTAGTGGTGGTTTTCTGCTCATGTCCTATATTTTCGTGATCGTTATTTCCCAATGCTTTATCTGTGCACATATGCAGTTAATTTCTTTTACATTGCGAAGCGTCTCTAATCGGGTTGTAGACTGCCAAATATACTTTGAAAATTACAGTTTTCTGTAGTACATGTGCACATGATGTTCTTTTTTCTTTTGATAGTGGGGGAAAGGTTATCAGTTGACTACAATGAAAAAATAGTTTTAATTTCTGCCACATAGCCATATTGCCTAGGGAAATCAGTGGGACTATTTAGGGACTCGAAGCTGAGTCAAAGCGATTTGTTAGTAAGGAGCCTAAGTCAACAGGGTTTGTCTGGTACACAGTGTGAGGCTCAGCAGCTGTTTTTGAGTGACTTAGTCAGTGCCACGAGACTATTCCAAAAGCCAAATTCTACTCCCCTTATGTTGGTATAAAGATAGGTAACTTTGTAAAATTCAGTGAAGGTACTCTTCATTTATACCTGCTTGCAGGAAAAACTTTAATGCTAACTTTCTTTTGAACCAGTCTTAAGTGTTCTAGACTGTAAATCCCACCAGAATTTGGGGGATATCTGGTCTGAAATGGAAAATGGAGCTGAAGATAAAATACTAAAACACACATGCTAGAGTTAATATGCTTGGTTTCTTTAAGGATTAAATTAGTCAGAAGCCTGCTGCTAAAAATACTGTTTTTCATAGCTTTTGTTTATATCACTTCCTTTGCCTCTGTAACTTTTGCTTGTGCTTCTGAAAATATAACATTAAATAAGCAGCCGAAAATAACCAAAGGTAGGCATCGTATCACTGAAGCAGTAATTACAATGTGGAGGTTCTTACAGTCTGTCATCAAATTGCACGGGCTCTGGTTAGTGCATTGATTGCCTTAATTCAAAACGTCTTTGCTTTTAGCATATCTCATCATGTATTATAATGCTTTCTTTAAAGCTGATTCCTGAGGGTGTGTTTACCTTAGCAAATTTAATTCCAGTAACTTGGCTTGGGTTTTTATGTTGTCATTTCAGAACTTCTTCACTGCAGAAGTCCAGCAGTCTGAGCAGTTTGAGAAAAGAGGCATCTGAAGCGGTTGGTTTGGTCTTTTACTTCTTCCTTAGAAACAGGGGTGACGTCTCTGTTGTGGCAGTGACCCCATGGATGCTCTGTTGCCACCTTCTGAGAAATTCTGAGTCAGAGTAGGGCTCCTCATGTGTTAGCAGTGGTAACGTACATGTGACATCTCCCAGATTTTATTAAAGGAGAAAATCTTCCTTGAAAACGATGGTGCTTTTTTTTTTTTTTTTTTTGCATGAGGCATTTACCTGAGGCTCTTGCTGCGTTTTTCTTTATACAGTGAGATACTTTGGTTTTAGTTGATATGCTTTTCTGATTTAAGACAAGAAGAAAGTAAGTCCCACCTCCACTTCCTACCTGTGTTAAAGGCAAATAATTTTGAAAGGCTATGTAATTAGCGGATTACAAAATACAGTCTGGGGTGACTGTTTTAGGTGGTTGGGAACAAAATACTGGGCCTTTGTATGTCTGGTGATAGCTTCAGTTTAGGTCTCTTTCAAAGTGACCAAAAGCAGCTTAGCCTCTAACAGTGTCGTTAAATCAGGGCCATTTCTGTGCGCTTTTCTGACAACCTGAACTCCTAAAAGCTCTGGAGTTCCCTGGTACCCAAGCTACTGAGCTGTGCCTTACAGCTCAGGAGGGATGTTGACAGGTCTGAAAATGTAACCATAACTTGAAGATGAGAGCTAGAGTTCATGGGTTAGGGTTTGGGGTTTTTTTGGTTGTTTGGACAGCCAAGGAGTAGAGGCTGTGGATATTTTATCTACTTGGCTTCTACCCTGTCTGATTGCTGCTTTGGGTCCCTTCAGCCAGATGTGCCCATTAGTGCCTTAACAGACTACGCGTCGCTAATTATGTACACAGCTAATCCTTTGCAAAATAAACCGAAGCAACCGTATTTTCATGTCAGCTTGCTGACCTCAAAGGCAGCAAGAATTAATCTGTGTGAAATACAGCTCTGAAGAGATTCATTTGGAGGAGGGGGGAGAAATGGACAGGGAAGGGTGTTTCAGTCAGAATTTAACTCAAGATAACTGTAATGAATTGAATACTGGGTATAAACCATGACTTTTTAAATGTCTGTCTTAAGCTTTCCCTAACAGGACAGAGACTCTGCACCGAAGCCAACAGAGGTAACGTGTGTGCGCGCTTGTGCGTGTACATGGAGAAACAGAGACAGCGAGCGGGTGTGGAGGGGTTCAGTTGTGTGAAATTGCGGCACGCAGTTCCAGAGGGGGAACAGCAGACCTGCGGCAAGATAGCGAGGAGTATATGATGGTTTTCACCATCGCTTCAGTGTCAGTCTGTCTCGCACATTCTTGTCCTCTCACACATGGCTTATCCTTTGGTCTGGTTGAGCATAAGGTTGCTGTCTAAGCTAATGTTTCCCCCACATATTCTACCACTGAATAATTAGCAAAACTAACCGTTAAGTATTCTGCTGACTCTGTAATTACCTTTCATTAGCGTCTCTTTAAAAACCTCTGGCTTTCCAAATTGTTTTCTGTGAGTAGCAACTGTGTTCCTAAAAAGACTGTTCATTGCAGAACAGTTACCCTGCGGTACTGTATGGGCATAGTTTGCATGTAACAATTATTACCTATAGGAAGACCTGAGCAGAGATGATGTTCCTCAGATACCACTTGTGGGGTGAAGGCTGTATCGATTCAGCAAAAGCCAAAGGATCATGTTTGGATTGTGAATGTGTTCTCCTTCTTTTAAAGAGATAGTGAAACAACCGACAAGGTTAAAACTGCTGCTTTAAATCGGTGTCTGATCTCTGTCCTGGCATTTACACTCCTTGCTTGATACTTAATGTCCCTCAGCTTTGACAGTGGACATAGTCAATTAATTCATTAATTCTTGGATTGCAGAGCAGTGATAGACAAAAAGAGCTATCTGACACTTGGCAGGGAATCGATATACTGTGGGGGTCTCATCTCTCTCTTTGCTTCCCACAATCCCTTACAGCTACCAGTGAGGGACACAGAAACCCTGGAAAGCTGGAAAAGTTCAAAGCTTTCCAGGGCTGTTTTTTTACCTTTTCCACACCTGTAAGCCAGCCTTGCAGAAACTGATAAACATCTTAAAGAAGACATGTTAACTCTTAGAAGGTAGCGATAGTAATCCTGGGTCCTGAACATACTAAAATTAAGATCTCACTTATGTTTTCCTTTATGGCTTTTACGTTCTGTTTTCTTGTAGTAACCAAAGAGAAGGACTGTCCAGATTATCTGTCAGCAGTCCCTTTGCACTCTCTCCCAAAAGGCCTTTTGCAATTCCCTGATACTGAATCTTTATTTCCCTAACTTGAGCAGGTTAAGCCTCCTATGGAAGTTAATAATTTCGCAACCCTCCCTCCAAAGTCTCCTTCTCATGGTGGCACAGGCGATGAGGATAGTTTTGGTACCCGTAAGGCCAGATCTTCGTTTGGACGAGGCTTTTTCAAGATAAAAAATAACAAGAGGACTGCGAGTGCCCCCAATCTGGGTAGGTATTGTGCACCTGCATGCATGTTCTGTGTATTTTGAAGGGTCTTAACAGCAACTGTGACTGTCTTAAGAAGCAGGAAGGCCAGCCTTAGTTTCACTGTGGCTTGGTAGCACTTTCTCAGTAGAATGTTTGGAAAATACCAAACAGCAACAAAAAAAAACAGAAAAAAACCTCACTGATGTTATGAAGTATTTGATCTGCTTCAGCCTCTGCTGTGATATCTCCCATGGGACCTTGTAGTGGATTGCTGCTGTTCTGAAATGCTAGCTGTCCAGCCAGAGGTTCACACATGGGATTTGTGGGCTTTTTTTTCCCCCTGGATCCATTCTCAGTATATCTCTCATAAGATTCTCAGATGTACAGAAATGAGGCAGCACCACTCAGTCTTCCTCTTTATTTTATGTGTATTTAAGCAGACTTGCAAAAGAGATGGTGACAACAGGAACAGGATTGACAAGTTACTCAAGCTCATTTTGATTTTTGGACCTGCAATGGAGGGGGCTTGTTTTGATATTGTCATTTGATGACATGTGCATGTGACAAAATGTTCTGCTTAATGCAGAAGCCGCTGTTGCCACCAACTCTGCCATAGTAGTCTTTCCACTTTCCAGCATCAAGTGAGTCTGTCATTCGTCTAAAGGTTTTGGCGCTCTCTTGGCTTTCCAGCATCAAGTGAGTCTGTGCATCAGATCTACTGTCATTCGTCTAAAGGTTTTGGCGCTCTCTTGCACAAGATTTAGGAATTTGGCTCTATCTTTCAGAAGCCTGAAGGGGGATAGCTTCTGCTTTGTTGAGCAGAAGAGTCTCCTGTTCTTACCTAATCAAAGACAATTTTAGACTTTTGTTCAAAGAAATAACATACCTACACATTTATTATACATTGCCCATATTTGCCAGTGACATACAGCATGGGAACTTGCTAGCCTACTTGGAATATGATGTACAGTCTGTTCTGAGGGTTAGACTCTTTGCTTTGGTTTATTTCATGTGTGCTTTTGTGTAATCACTTGTTTTGTCTTGAAATTAATTTGTCTAACAAAGTGGAGTACTTGTGGCTGTCATACAGGATTGGAAGATGGGCCATCTAGGTCAGGGTCCTGTGAATTTAAGTTATTTATGTTACCCGGATTTCAGTGCTTCCATCTGTAAAGCTGGTGTCCAGATACTTGCCACCTCACAGGAGCCCACGTGAGTCACCTGCCCAATGTGTCATGGAGCAAGTGACCTCCCTGCACCGAAGTGACCACGGTGCTGTTTTATCCTCTCCACCAGAGAGCTCTACTGCATTTCTTTTTTTGTGAGAGGAGGATTAACAGTGAATTGGTAATCCTAATCTCTGTGTGAATTCAGCATTGCGTGTGGCGCATGTGTCTCATGTACCTCCCTCCTTTTGTCTTGTATTTTGCTGATGTAAGTTTTGAACTGTGTTTTACCTTGTCCCTCTGCGTGTTCTCTCCCATTGTGCTGCGTGTGGTTATGTGCGTTGTTTGGATATCTGAAGATCGCAGTCGAAGTGCAAGTGCACCTACTTTAGGTATAGTAATCCTGCATGTCTGCCTGTACCAGCGCTGTGTTGTGACTGCTGCTAACAGCTGGTTATGGCCACACACTTTCAAACAAGAACTAGACACCAGAGCTCTGCATCGAAACTTTTGTCCATCACTAAAAGAAGTTTTCATGTAACATCTGCCCTCTGCTACGAGTCAGCTGCACCATTTCTCAGTAACTGCTACTAATGAGAGAGATTGCGGGTTAATTTGCAGAGACCTTTGCCGTAACTTTGAGTACAAAGTTACCTACAGACCAAGGTACCAGGTGAGAATCGGTGATGTTTAAATACCGGTGGCACCTTTGTGCTGTCGTCTGCCCTGGAGTCCCTGGAAGAGCTTAAAGTGTGGCAAAACAGGGAATGAGGTGTGTTTCCCAGGCATTCACTCAGGGGAGTTCTGGGGGGAAGGATACGTAATTCCTCTTCTAAGATGTAGTTATATTTATTATATAATAATTGAACGAGAATAATTGGGGCAGATGGGGATGGAGTCATTCACGTAATAAAAACCAGTCTTGGGATGTGAGCATTCCCTGGGTGGTTCTGGCAAGGGCAGGCAAGACCTGCAGGGTCCTGCCTTAGCAAGCAGAGCTGTGTCAGTCGGGGTGGTTGTACAGCCACCCGGTGTGCCCCTGGCTGACAAAGGAAGAGACCTGGACCCTGCTCTGGACCCTCTCGGCTTTCCATGTGGCCCCTTAAATGTCAGCTGTTCCTACGGGTTTGTGTCAGGGCATGAAAGGGAACGAGGCGTGAGGAGCAAACATTGCAATACCCGCAAATCTCTGCTACTAATGCACCCAACCTTGTCCTAGTATTCTCTCTAGAATGCTGTTTAAATGTGTTTTTTCTAAGCTAGCACTTTTTCTTATACAAGTAAAGCAAAAACCACAAATGCAAAAGCCTGGTTCGACATTAGTGCTGTCTCTTACTGGCAGGATCCCCGTATTCCATAGCGGTCAAACCAAAGTGCCCGGAAATAATCTTTTATGTGACCTTGATGCTTCACTGCAAGGTTTAATATCTAAAGCATCGGTGGAAAATGGGACGTGTTCAAATGTATTCTGGCTGAATCATCTAAACTTTGCCCAGCAGAAAGCTACACTGGCGAAGCCTGCAGTTTGTCGCTGTGTGTGGCACGTTGTGGCTGCCTCAGCATTAACCTGGCCTGAGACCACATGTCCCAGCAGCATACGCTTTACCTTGATTCACGTAACTTCTTTGGGTTTCTCCTGGAAGTCTGAGAGTCCGTTTCAAAAACAAATGGTGGCCATGTAATTACACAGCCATGGTAAAAGATGGTAAAAGTGGTTACAGGCTGGACTGTCAGCCTGCTGCAGGCTGCCTTGCCACAGCTGCTTCATCTGAACAGGCGCATGCTGCCACTGTTCCTCAGCAAGTAAGTGGCATAAGCTCCACGTGGTGGTTTTATTCAGCTATCTGGCACTTGCTGGCACACCTCCGCTTATGTAGCCTAGTAGATATTGCAATTCTTTTAGTTTTCTTTTTAAATGATCTTAAAATAGTTTTCTTCTCTGTTAGTTTAGCTTTTACTAAACAACCTTGTGAAAACTTCCCTTTTGGGGACAGGAGCCCTCAGGTTTGTTGGTATAGAAAGTAACAGCTACAGGTCAAAGATTTCATGCTTTTAGAGTGGGTGGTAATGTGTAGGCACTCTCGGAGGCATTCTGTGCATCCCTTGAAAGAGAAGATCTAGTTCAGACAGAGCCTGAACTCCCTGGTATTTCTCTGCAGAGGAGCAAAATACTCCACAGTTTGTAGATGTGAGGGGACAAGGGCCCTCCTGCTCTTGGGGCAGGAGGAGTTGGTTGTTGCTGGAATTTCCTGGGTGGGGGGTTCATGGGATACTGCAAGATGCCTGCAGGGAAATGATTTCCTTTTCTGTGCTTTGGGGATGGTGCCCTGCCATGGCACTGAATTGTTCCGGGCATCCACATGCCTTGGCTGTCTGTGAAAGGACTCTAGGAGCATTCCCCAAGGAAGAGTGAGTTTAGGATTTAATTCACTGGTTGATTCATGAGGTGGTTTTTGCCCACCTTGGATGCAAGGCACTTAACCGGTGCAGAGCATTGCCTTGGAGTGTTCCCAGTCAGACCCATGAAGGAGGAACATGTTTTGTTTCTCCTGGATTTTCCCATCCCTTGTTGCCTCATTTCCTTACTGTGAAGCTGTCAGTAATTCTAGAAGAGTTGTTCCCAAGTTCAGGAGTGTGTTTTCAGTCCTGTGCAAGTGAGTCTTGACGGGGCTTTTGCTTTCTAATAGCTGAAACGGAGAAGGGATCTGCAGACCACTTGGATCTGGCTGGCTTGCCCCCTCGCCCAAAAGAAACGGATAGTCTACAGATGACTCCACCTTCTCCAGATTCCAAGAAAAAGGCCAGAGGGATCAAGAAGTTATTTGGAAAGTAAGTAAAAGATGAGAAATGACTGTTCTCCAGAGCTGGGGCTTGCACTGGGGTTTGCTGGGAACACATCTTCCCTTTTTCCCCCTCCAACCTCTGGCTCCATGGCTTACTCTCTCAAAAGCAGGAGCCAGTGTGGCATTTGAGGGAGCTAACAGCAGGTCAGCATGGGGTGGAGGAAGAGCTACCAACCCTGCAGGAGATCTTACCTGTATTGGTTGCAGTAGTGGAAGCATGATTTTTCCTTAGCCAAATGTGAATGCCTTCTTCCTTTCAACTAGACTTAAAAGAAGTCAGTCTACTACCTTCAACCCAGATGACATGTCCGAGACGGAGTTCAAAAGAGGAGGGACAAGAGCAACGGCGGGGCCACGGCTGGGCTGGTCTCGAGACCTGGGGCAATCTCACAAGTAAGACGAGTGGTGCCAAGTGTGCTGGCGCTTGCCTTCCCGGCAGCTCCAGTCAAGCACGGGGTCCAAAGGAGAAGCACGGTGCCAAAATGAAATGTCCCCTCTTCCTGGCAAATGGAAGCAGGCGGATCCTGGCCATTTCCTCCTTTAAGAGATGGTCTTTGCGGGGTTGAGGTTGGTTGGGTGGTAGAGTCCTGCTGCGAGTGGAACCTTCCTTGTCCACAGCTTCGCAGGAGTGCAGCTGTGAGGCCGTGCAAAGTGGGGGGTGAGCCCTCATGTGGCAATGACAGATATTCCTCTGGTACGTTTGGCAAATGGAAGCAGGCGGATCCAGGCCATTTCCTCCTTTAAGAGATGGTCTTTGTGGGGTTGAGGTTGGTTGGGTGGTAGAGTCCTGCTGCGAGTGGAACCTTCCTTGTCCACAGCTTCGCAGGAGTGCAGCTGTGAGGCCGTGCAAAGTGGGGGGTGAGCCCTCATGTGGCAATGACAGATATTCCTCTGGTACGTTTCCTGCTGCACTTCTGGGGATTAAAGGCTGAAGTAGAACATTATGGTCTCTCTTCAGTGTTTCAGCCACCCTAGCAGCAGAGGTGCTTGTTTCAGTGGTAGTAATAGACTCTGTTTATTGTGATAGTGGCAGGAGATCAGCAGCGATCAGCGCTTCGTGGTGCTGATAGTTGAGAAGTAGGGTCACCCTCTGCCTCATGGGGCCGACCGTGATGCACATTCTCCCAAGGAGATTGTCCCAACTCCCACAGAATACTGGTTTTGGTTTTATCGTTATGTATGAGAACAGGAGATTTGAGACATGGGATTTATCAGTCTTTTTGGTAAAATCTGTAGTGAGCTGGACATGCCATTCGCAAAGTGGACGAAGGAGCAGGTTTGCAACTGGCTCCAGGACCAAGGGCTAGGCTCGTACATTAGTAATGGCAAACACTGGATACTGTCTGGGCAAACGCTTCTGCAGGCTTCTCAGCAGGATCTGGAAAAGGTGAGAAATACTGGAAACACTGCTTTCAATTAAGCGTACAAAAAATTGCTATTTCTGTGCATGTAAATCATGTCTGTGAGGTGCACCCAGTAGGATTAAAAAAACAAATTTTTAAAATTCTGTCATCTTCAACAATGCTAAATCTGTTTCTTTTTAGATGAAACTTCCTAAGAATGTAATGCTCTGTAATGAAACTAACAGTTAAAAATATGTGGTTTAACATCATTAAGCATGGACATATCCATCAGCTATGTCACTTTAAAAATACGCACACAAGAGTGCCTCATTATCATATGGGGTCTGTAGATTCATTAGCACTTGTGTATGGTACAGTTATTTTATGCCTGTGTGAGAAAGGTGTAAAAAGCTGCTGGTTTGGTCTGACTGTATTCTCTGCACATTTTACACAAAGAGGAATGAGGATTTGTTACACACAAGGGTGATCAGTTTCTTTGTCTTAAATCATTATAGAATTGTTTAAGTCTTGTTTTCTAAAACTAGAAACAATTTTAAAGTTGATTCAATCTATACTTTGAATCCACATTGCTAACATTTGAATTTTCAGCTTTTACAACTCACTGTCCCCACCAAATAGTAACCTTGTTTTCTCAATGAGGGAGTGAGCTCATTCAAAGTTGTAGTTATACTACAACCGGAAGTGTGATATGGACATTGTGGCTTGTAATAATGTTATCAGAGGTAACGTTATCTAGCAAGCACTGGTGAAAGTGTATATGGGATTGAAGAGATCCTGGAATGGCTGCACTTGCAACTAAACTGGGGAAGATGTTAGGCATTTGGAAGTACTAATAAATTTACTAAATAATTCTTGGGACTTTCATGTGGTCTTAGCTAAATAATTCTTTTAACCTTACCTGAGTGGGAGGGAAGGAAGTAATCCCATCAAGTATTTTTCTGAATGCTAACATGTTTTATACTGTGGGGTTTTTTAACCTGGTATGAGAATACTGTGGCTGATATTTGCATACAGTTTGGAATCCACCACATTTTGAAATGAATCCATCACAGTGAGCAGGCCTTTTCCTAGTGATGAACACGTGCTAAAACGATGCTGATGTTCAGCAAATAGAAAATACACCTGCCAAGTCTCCAGCAAAGTGCTATGTACAGTGTGACTCTGAAACGATTTGTAATTCAGCAGAGGGAGAAATAAAATACAGTATTGTCTGTAGGTTTGCTGCTTTCCTTCCTTTCACAGGAGCTTGGGATAAAGCACCCATTGCATCGGAAGAAGCTCCAGCTTGCTCTGCAGGCACTTGGGTCTGAAGAGGAAAACAATCATGGAAAACTGGATTACCACTGGGTTACCAGTAAGATTTTATCTCATACTGAAGCGGCAACTTCTAATAGGGGTTCCTAATCATGGCTAATTTGGGGCTCAAAGAGTGAGAATAACACTAACTGGTGCTAGGCTACCACACTAACATGAGTGTCTGTCTCTGCCTTAGGGTGGCTGGATGACATTGGCCTCCCCCAGTATAAGACCCAGTTTGATGAAGGAAAGGTGGATGGCCGAATGCTCCATTACATGAGTGTGGTGAGTAAATGGCCTTTCTTTTCTTGACATCCTATTTGTATTCTTAGTTTCTCCCCACTTTAATGCATGCTGCCGTACCTCCCGATAGCTCACTGAAGACCAGGTGAGACTAAGAGGCCTGCTTTCACTGTGCCTACTGTTGTGACTATGTAGATACTATATTCACTTAACATCCTCCTTCCTCTCCATCCCAGCCTCCATTTTCTCCTCCTCCCTTTGGGTCAATTTGCCAGCGGCAGCAACCTTTTTTGCACCCCACATAACCAGGATCTGTGCCCTACCACAACCTCTGCAAGCAGCCTTCTCCTCTTCCCACATTCACCTCCTCTCAGCCTCCTTGGCAGCCCTGGCCCCAAACACACCTTCCTGCCCCTGCTATAAGGGAGAAACAGGGGGTCCAGGCATCATCTGGCCCTGAGAGACAGCGATCTGTGGCTGCAGAAGAGGTGCTGCCACCAGCCACCATCGCCCACCTTCTTCCCCTCGGCCCTCCTGTGAGCTCTCGTGTCGCAGCCAGCCATTCTCAGGTCCCTTACAGGCATCTTACAGGATCCAGAGTATACAAGGAGCCAAAGAGATGGATCACAGCGATCTGGCTTGTAGCTTCCTAGAGCAGAAAGTTGGTGCCCGTGTGGAGGTCAGCAGACCGTCTGCGCATTGCTCTGGGCCTGCGTTGAAAGTTGTAAAAAGGAATATAAAAGTACCACACGGTTGCTGTCTGCGCATGTGAGTTTTGCCCCAGATGGCTGGATCTACTGAAAGGAAGCTAAAGTTGGAGCTTACTCTCCCTTGCTTTGGCAGCATCGCAGGGGCTACACCTATGTGCGTGTAGGGTACCAAAAGTACAGACTTCAGCAGCTAAACATCTTGCGTATCTCATGAGACTTTCTGGCAATAATTTCAAAGATGTTGAATGGTTCATAAATGGGGTCTTCAAATTTTCTGGATAACTGAAGGAAGAAGGCTGAGGGAGGTCAGAGTGTCAGAGGCATCGCTACCGCTAAAAGGATAGGCCAGAATACCACATTTGTCTGTATGCTTCATTCCAGTGTTCAGAGGACCCCTTGAAACTGTAGTGGGTGTCCTGTGTTAAGCTAATGCTGGTAGCTGTAACCTATAGAAAACAGAAGGCCTGATACTACTACTCACCTGCAAGTATTTCCTATATTCTTTCCAGCTTTAAAGATACTATCTTAAGGTGGAAGAGTGAACATAGTAAGCAAAAGCCCGGACTCATGCATGAGAAATGGGCAATCTTGTGCTTAACAGTTGTGCATGACACTGATGTACTGAGGCAGCGTTTGTAAGTACACAAATTCTGCAAATTCTGCGGTCACAGTTCATGCAGCTGGGCCTTTGCTCTTCAGGTTGTTATTAATTAATAGAAGTAGGTGGAATTTTTTTCTTCAGCAAGCAAACATTCTGTATACTTACCTATTCATGTGGATGCTTAGGTGAAGAAAACCCAGGCGATTTCCTTGGAAGAAAATTGCAGTTTTAAGAGCCAGCTTGTTCGGAAACAGGCTACATTTAATAGCTTTTGCATAATGTACTCCATAATGCTTAGCACCAGCATCAGCTCCCCACTTTACTGATGGTCAGGTGAAGCCAACCCAGCAGGTTTCCTTTCTCTAAGGTCTCAGATAAGGGAAGACCTTTGTTCTTCTCTGGAGACACAAACACAGACTGGGCATCACCAGTATTAATTCGTTCTGTATAACAAAGAAGAAATCGATCACGCTCCTGTTCTCTTTTGAGCCATGCCATGGGCAGAGTAAAAGTTACTTTTTTATGCCATATTTGCATGTATTTCCTATAGGCTTTACATTAGCGCCAGAAGGAAGCCTGGGGTTGATCCATCTAACTCTCCTCCTGTAAGACGAGCACAGCACTGCTGAGGAACTGCAGCCGCTGCCCAGGACTGACCTGCCTTGGCTACCTGCCATGGCTTTGCTGCTGAGTCCGTTTTGGTCAAATGTTAAATACTCGCCGCATATGTAGTGTGGTTTGGTGTTTGTTTCCTTTAGTTTTTTTGTGTTCAGACATTAATACAAAAGTAGGAGGCAGTTTCTTTTTTCTGCTTCTTAAGCCTTGGAGATCTGATGCCAGTAGGCTCCACTGAGCTTGGTCTTGTGTTGGGAGACTTTACCCCACTGTGTTACCTGGATGAGAATTGAATGCAGGTAAGACACAGCATAGGCTGTATTGTAAGGGAACTTGTATGATTCAGCAGTCAGTCTTTTTTCTGTTAAAAAAGAAAGAAAAGTAATAGGTGGACAGAGGAGACGTGTAGCAGGATCTTTGCCTTTTAAATAGATGTCCTTTCCGTTACTTTCCTTTAGTTGTAGATCAGTAGGGATATTTTTACGCAGTTTAAACATAAAATTACAACAGTTGCTTCAGTGTAAATGGTCAACTAAATAAAGCTATATGAAAAGTATAAAATAAATATTTTTTAAAATCACATGAAGTTACCCTGACTTAGCAAACCAAAAAATAGAAATTCTAATCCTAGAGTTTATTTGGGCAAGTGAAGAGTTTAGTCTTAAATATTCTGACACAACAGAGTCCAGTATTTGTAACACCTAGGTACTCCTGGAACAAGGAGGTGTAAATTTATCTGTCACCCAGCTTGCACCAGCAGAGAATTGGGCTTTGAGACACTTAATGGCATAGTTAGGACTCAGTTACAACT